AAAGCAATGTAATTTCATGTAGAGGGAAAAAAATACCAGCTCTGCTTCAGAATGGTCTTATATTTCACAGCTCCATTTTAGGTGGGTACTTTTAGGGGATATGAAATAAGACATCAAATACAATTTTAAAAATTATAGTTGCATTCTATCCAAATATAAAGCAACAAGCAGAACTTCCTTTCCAAAGTGGAACGTACTACAAATGATTAGTTCATTCATAGCCCTCCTCCTACTGGGGTTGAAGAAAGCCTAGCAAACCCCGTGGAAAGGAAACAGCATACTATATCAAGCTTAACAACGTAAGCTTCCCCGAGGGCATAGCAGTTATGGCAAGAGCAGAACTATCTTCCATAAAAGAAAGTGGGGGTGGCAACAGTAGAGGTAGATAGGGAAGGTTCCCTAACTTTGTATATACAGATAGCCTGGTTACAAAGAATAGACCAGCCTTGAGGGAGAAGAGGAAAATTCTCACACTGGACCCCATGTTGCTGAAAGAGAGTTTGTGGAGGGAGGGTTGTTCCCAGATAGCCTATTTAAATGCCTTAGTGAGTGCAGGTTACACACAGAGGGGTGTCTCTGGCGCTTTTTCCTTTCTTTATGACAAATTTGCAGTTAATTAGGCTCTGGTCTTGCTTAGGGAAGCCCAGAATTGGGCCTAAAGAATAAAATACATGGAAAAACAGTGAAACCATGAAAATACATTTTTAAAAAAAGTTTTCAGGTATAATACACAAAAGCAAACAAGTTTATCTTAAAAAATATCAAGTATTACATCCATAGACTATTCCTAATTATAATTACTTCTTAAAGCAACATTTGTCTTTGTTTACAAATACAGCAGCAGGTGATAAAACCTAACGTCTCAAACAGATTGTTTACAGTTCATAATACAAACAAATGTATATGTCTCAAATCACATTTTAGGCAGTTTAACTTAAATGCATAGACAACTACATACATTAAAATTGTCATTAAGTCAATGAAAAAAAAATCACAATATCAAGAAAGAAAATACAAAAACCTTTATAGAGCACACAGAACTCAAGTGTACTTAATGGCAACAAATCAGTATCTGCTAATCAGTGACAGGCAGTGAAAGTGCCTTTATTCCGGGGAAAAGTAAAGAGGAAACATATCCCATTACTTTGCATGCTTGAAAAGATGCACTGACAAACTGCAATCTTGAAAACCATTAATTTCTTAGTAAAAAAAAAGGTATACCATACTTTGCTCTTTAAGATCCCCAAGGGCTGGTTTATAATTTCCACCAGCAGCAATACCAAAGTATGCTTATCTGAGTAAATTAATAGTGGGTGCACTAATGAATTCTGTAATGCCACCCCTATACCGTGGGCCTCTCAAGGACAGGCATTCTGTCATCCCTGCATGTCTGGCATCTGGGCAAAGCTCCTGAATTACAGACCTAAGTGTCTGTTGAACGAATGCAGTTCTCAGATGTAGTCTGCAGCCAGAAGCTTGCATGGCGTTTCTTTAACACTTGATTATTTTATTGGCAATTTTTGTTTTACTTGGCAGAATTCTGAGAATAAAAATAACGGTGTCTGTCTTCAATACTAAATATTGCTCTACTGAGATTAAATTAGTCTTCCCGGAAAGCCACCCACTACTTTCTACGCATAGGGCGGAGTATAGTGAGATTTATCTGAATTTAGCCTTCTGCTTTTCAAAAACTTGAACACTCTGTGCTTAGGTTTAATTTCCAGGGTTTATAACCCCAGCGTTTTGTAAAGCTAGCACTTGATTATTCAGGGTGAGGGAGGAAGGAAGAAGACATGGCATTAATCACTTAGAACTGTAGGCAACTGACTGATATGCAAACTAGGCACAGTATATTAGCTGAAACTTGGAGTAGAGCTATGTTCACCCACACATAGTTTTGAGCTGGACATGTGAGTACAATAGGTAGCACTTATGTATGAGGTAAAAATATCATGGGCACAACTGACTTCTTTTCTAGAAAACCTTCCATTGTAGTGGTGTGACCAAACAAAGCCAAAAATTCACCTTTTCTTCTCTGCACTATTATTCTCTACTGAAAACAATAAACAGTAAAATGGACAAAGGAGGAATAGAGGCCCTTGGGTAATTAAAAAATGTCTATTCCTGAATAATCAATATATCACTTTAAACAAAACAGAGCTGTGGAGTCAGAGCTGTAAACAGCCATTTTCAAAGCATGAACAGGTGTCAGGCCGAGTCCAGTAAGACAAGGTACTCTAAACACTCCTTTTAAGGAGCCTTGATTCTTGACAGCCGAGAGTGAATGAGAACCTAAGGTCTGTATTTTAATTCTTCGCTGTAACTTTTAGGTTCAACATTTCAAAGTCTAAATTCTAACTCCAGAAACACTTATCAAATTTATTTAAAAATTTTTGCTCTGAATGTCCAAATGCCAGAATATTCCATACTTTGTATCCCCTTAAGACCACACATACTCAGTCTTCCAAACTGATCTTAGCCTAGTGTGCCTTATTTTGAAAGCAAATTATTCCCTTGTAAAGAGAAAAAAATCTTCCTTAGATGTTTTCCCCCATTCCTCCATTAAAACAACTTCTGATTTTCTTAATTCCACCCTGAACCTAAAACTACTTTTTGTCCCAGAGTACCCACAAGAATTGAGACCCCTCTTCTCCAATCCAAGAAATGATGCTATAAAGAATTACAACTATACGGGCCGGCCGAGTGGCGCGATGGTTAAGAACTCGCTTGGGATGCCAGAGGGCCCCGGTTCGGATCCCACATATGAGGGCCAGTGACACTGC